CGAAATTGAGCTAAGAGTCCCGTCATATTTGCTGGTTTAATGGTCACATTATAATCTTCCGATTTCAATAACTATTGGGTGGGTCATTCCCACTGCAACCGCTGTTTGTGCCCCGGAGTCGTCTGCTTCGCATTTAAGACTTACGGGACTCACTGTCAGAGGAACGTGACTTGATTCTCCTCAGTCACCTGAGGTCTAGTGTTGAACGCTTCTATTCATAAATCTAAAGGAAGCTACTTACGTTACTTAGGTTATTTTTCGAGTGAACGTTCTACCATGTTTTCGGACTGGAGCACATCTTTCGTCACCTTGGGACCACATTCTTTGTAGTTTAATGATGTGTGTAATCTTATGATCGATTTGGCGATCACGTTGTCGAACGAGAGCACTTGACAGAGGTAACGTCACTTCACTCAATCATGGGCTGGTGCTTCACGGTTATCGGATGCCTGAAGCTCCAGTACACTATGAAAAATATCAACTTTTCGTTGTTGCAGTGGTGGTAGCCATCAGGGTTCTGTTTTTCTTTGTTAGCGCTCGCTCCAAGGGACGTCGGGAAAAATCCGAATGCCGCATGAGTCAGTCCGAATGAGGGCAGCTGACAAAAGCACCGCTTAAATATCGGTTGCTGCTTTTAACGTCACATGAAACAAACATCGTTACCACTTATGTGGGTCGAGTTTGGGAACCATACAATGCACACCATACTGGTCAGTTTAGTTTGGACGCCTATTAGTTGACATTTGGAGTCCCACTGTTTTTGGTCGTCCAACAGTTTGCAATCAATGGAATTAAGTTAGATTTAGGGACACTGGAACATATAATTGTCAGTGAAGCATGGGCTTATCTTGAATTAACCGGATTGTGAGGGACTTGCTTTTGAAGGTTTGCGCGCGGGATGGGTGCACGCGTCGCATGTGTAGGGCCTTGTGCGAGCTCGTCAAGTACAGCCATAGAATTTACTCTTGGTCTTTTGGCAGTGACAATGTGTTCACTTGTGCCGGCATAGCATGTCCTACAGATTTCTTCGCATTTAATGTCGATAGGACTAGGATGGGTGTAACCGCAGTAGGCGGAACTAGGTGGTATGCCTGGTAAGGGATTGATCATGTAGCATAGTTTTACTATTCCTTCTAGTTCAGCAACTGTGTTCAGATGTTGAGCCTTGCGTGCACAGTCCGGCTATGGCTGAATCCGGATGGTAGCATTTATTAAGCCTAGATCCCACGAACATCACCCAAAGGTCATCGCATTTCCACGCTGAAACAGCTATGCATCCAAGAAGTGTGCCAGCCATACACTCAGAACAGAACCAAAGAGAGTCTACTTTGTTTTTCCTCATTTCTCTCGCGTTTAATAAATCACACTTTCCGTGGTAATATGTGCTGCATTCAGAACTCAAAATACCAGATCGTACCGTTTTCCCGCAGCAGCTGATGCTGCTCGGCTGTGTCTCCCTACGCTTTGTCATCAATTTGACTTCATTTTTGTCATGTTCACCGTTGGTTGTGGTGCTGACACGTTAGATTAATCTTCCGGGGGTGCAAACACCCAGTCACATCCGTGCGTTGGGGTCAAGGTCACACGATGATAGTGCAACGACTATCGCTAGGCTTTCGCTGTCGCGTTTGCAGGTGTGCGCTTTGTCTGCACTACAGCACCACGGTTGTGTGGTTAGCGGATTTGCGTGGCTTGGTCTATTGATCGCAAGGCGAATTTGCCTAGGTAGCAGTAGCTGATCGACGCAGTGTTGGACTGGAACGAGTCAGAGCTTGCTCAAACGCTATTGAAATGCTTCATCGA